TCTTTCTCATACTTCTGGAAGGATTCAGTTGAATTAAAATGATTATTAGGCACCACCTATTATATACAAGTTGAGAAGCAAGTGGCATAATGAATGGTTAACATGCCTAATAGTGAAGATCTGGGTTCAAGTCCTAACTGAAAGGTACTGGCTCTGAGCAAGTCACTTACCTTCAAAGTGTTCCAGGCAACTCTAAGACTACATAAATTGATCTCCACTGGTAGCAGAGACTTGAGTTAGGGAAAACAACAAGAGAATGAAGTGTAAGAGACCTCCTTCCACTAACTGTCGATTTTTATCAATTCATTAACAAGCACATGTGAAAGGCTATCTGGTATAGTAGAGACCCACTTTATCATCATTAGAAGGACATAAATTTAAGATCCACCTCAAACATATATTGGCTGTGTGACCCTAAGCAAGTCATCAACTTTCTCAAAAAGCCAAGAAAAAGTTACACTGTTAAGTTATAGAAAAGTTACAGAGACACATCAGTAGAGAGAGTTTTCTCCTTGGGAGACTCCCTACATCAAGATATCACAAGGCTCCAAGAAATCTATGGTATGGGACTAGATCTGTGATTTAATTGATATAGGAAACTGAATGAGCAAACACTCACTGACGTTGCAGATCCACTCCGGTTCTACGATCTATAGGTTTATTAGATGGAGAGCTCCTTAAGGGCAAGAACTGTTTTTGCCGTTATTTGTTATCCCCCTTCCAGAAGTATGAGAAATCTTCCGGGCATTGTATGGTGCCTAGCACAGTCAGTGCTTAATAATCTGTTGATTATAACCAATTTTTCCTGTATATATCTCGTTTGTACACACTTGTTTGCATGTTGTCTCCTCCCACTCGACTGTGAGCTCCTTGAGATCAGGAACAATAATTTTTTGTTTGGTTTTTGCCTTTCTTTGTAACCCCAGCACTCAGCACAATGCCTATCACATTGCATGTTCTTAATAAATGCTTGCTGATTGTTGACCATATAGTTTTGCCGAATTGCATCAGGCACTGAGAGATTAAGTGACTTGTCCAGGGTCATACAGTCAGTATTATGCTCCCCATATACTGTATGTACCCCTATGCCTTAAACTCTCCTCCTTGTCCCTGTCTGCTCGCTTCCTTCTAACCTAAGGCCCTTCTTTCTGCAAGAGGTCTTTCCCATCCTTCCCTTTGAGATTGCTTCCAATTTGTCTCCTATAGTGTTTGTTTGGGGGCAGGTAGGGGGTACAATGGCTAGAACACTGAGCCTAGAGGGAGGAAGATCTGAGTTCTAATGTGGCTTCAGGCAGTTACTAGCCATATGAACCTGGGAAAGTCACTTAACCTTATTTGCCTCAGTTCCTCATCTGTAAAATGGGGACACATTGGAAAAGTAAATGGCAAACCACACCAGTAACTTTGCCAAGAAAATTCCGTGGACAAAATCCATGGAATCATTTAGAGTCAGACAGGATTGAACAAGTATTTGTATATGGTAGTGGTTTGCATATTGTCTCCCCTACTAAATTGTGAGATCCTTCAGAGGGACACAAAGAATGTGTCTCCAGAGCTTCTTGGTATCTGTATTTTATGTTTTACATTCTTTTACTTGTTTGCAGGTTGTCTCCCTATTAAAATGTGAGTTCTGGGTGGGAAGACTATGTTTTTGCCGTTCTTTGTATCTCCAGGGCTTAGCATGGTGTCTGACACTTAGTAAACACTTAAAAAAATGCTGGTTGACTATATGACAGAGGAGTAGCTTGAAGCCAGCTTTATAACCACTACATCGTAATGCCTGTTATATCTTTTACACATACTTTCATACACGTGATATTACATTGTCGTTGTATTATATGCGTAGGTATGCATGTGTGTGTGTGTGTGTGTGTGTGTGTGTGTGTGTGTTACATATACTAGCCGAAGATATATATAGATCTATAGCTGCAGACTCTCTTCCTGGGCCCACTAAACATACCAGATGCTCGGGTCAGTTAGCACTGACTACCTAGTTGAAACCCTGCTCAGAGGTTCTTAGCCTCTCTCTAGTGGGGAGGGTCGGGCGAGAGCCAATCTCATCCATTAGCCAGCGCCCGTGCACAATGGCTGTCTCCTAGGAAGCAGCCATTGGGTGCAGCAGGCTCGCAACACCACCGGGGGAGGGAGGCGGTGCTGTTACCTGCTCCGCCTGAGACGGCCTGGCCAGACGCCTGCAGCGTGTTCTGTAACCCCAGAAGCAGCTTCCAGCCAGCATTGCACAACCTGGCACTGCCTCCTTACATTCTCCCCCCGCCACCCGCTCCGCTTCCCCCCTACTTCCCTCCCCCTCCCCCCACCACGCCCTTCACTAAACCTCAGGTTTCGCCCTAACCGGGGGTAGCTCAAGTTCAAGGTTGATGCGCCGCTTTGCCGAGCCTGCAGATAGAATTTGCCGTATACGGTGCTCACGTTATCTTTAATTAGGCTTGTTATTAGTTCTAAAGGAGCCTGCCTACCGCACGTTTGGGAAGGAGAAGCCTCCTGTACGTGACTTCAGAAGAAGGCAGTAGCCCTCCCTTTCTGTCCCTAGCCCAGGTCCGTTCCTCCCGCCGAGGTCGAGCTCCCTCTTGTGGGCAGCCTGGATTTCTATGTACTGGCGCCTTCATTCACTAGGAAGATTCAATGGACGCCAGTGTTGATAAAGGCTAACCCACAATCTTAGAGGAAGGGAGAAATAATCCCACGTACAGAGCTCGTAGAAGGCTCAGTTAATTTGGAACACGAATCTGTAGATACCTTTGCAGAAGACTTAAGAGGGGAGAGGGGCAGAAAGGGAAAGCCTATCTGGAAGGGCTGAAAAGATAATGGACGCCACTTTTCCCCACTATCTCTTTTGAAAAAACAGGAGGAAGGCAGGGAGGGAAAGAGAACTGACTGAACATAGAGAAAGCAGTTTGACAAGGAAGGCAGCGAAAAAATTAAAAGGAAATCATAGATCACGAGCTCTCATTTAAAAAAAGTAGCGTTAGATTAATGTGATTCAGATTCTCTGTTTACAGTGATTGTAGAGTTGAACACAGGGGAATGAAATAATACACGTTTTCATAACAGTTTGGATGACCTACTAATGTGTGACATGAGCAAAATCACAAGCTGAATACATAAGAGTCTTTACTATTATAGGAGTCAATTCCATCTAAAGTGGAAACATTTTTCACTATGTCTGTTAATATCTGTTATCAGTATGCCTTTGGAAAGAAGTCTTTAGAATTCCTCCCTCCCCCCCACCCAGTGCTCCACCAAATGCATACATACTCACTACATGTAAATGAAAAGCTTAAAAAACTGCATGTAGGATTTGGATGTGTTCATCTTACAGTATGGCAGATAGATTATACCCTTAAATGAACAATAGATTATTTTTTTGGAAATTATTTTAGGTGCCTGTGAAATGGGTAATTAAGGAATGGGCACAAGGTTTTTTTGTTTGTTTGTTTTTTGCAAACATCGTTTGCAAAAGGTTCCAAGCCTATGGCCAAGTGTGTAGGTGACACGGCTTTGATAAAAGTTGCCCAGAATTTGGAGAAAGGGGTAAGTAATCCTATGTACAGTGCTTATAAATGGCTCTGATAACTTGGCAAACACGGTTTTATCTACCTTTACAGAATGGGGGGAGGGGTTGGAGAGAGGGAACCTACAGTATATGAAAGAAGAAAAGATAATAGGTGTGTTGATGTGTTTTTTAAAAAATCACCTGCATTTCAGACGGACACTGGGTAGGCTTTTTTATTTTAAATGTAGCTATGTTTTATTGGATGCAAGATGAAAGTTTTGACTTTTAAAGTTCTCTTCCATTTTAAAGTGACCACTGAGAAACTGAGTCAACAAAGCATTTAAACTTATCATCCTCGAAAATCTCTTCTTTCAAATTTATTTTCCCCAGTAAAAGAAGGGGGCAGGAATATGAACCCCAAAATGCGCGGGCACACACACGTACACTCTCACGGTCTTTCACTTACACAAATCTGAGACTGGGAGATGGTTTGTACTGGTGCATGGTTTATAATCGGGTTAATCCAGTAGACAAAGTATAAAGCAACAACTCCCCCACCTCACTTCTCGCTCCCTTCTCCTTGTCTCCGCTCCCCGCAGTCCCACCCAAGCTTTAGGAAAAGCAAGTGTTTAAAACTAAGGGGAAAAAAACCCACAATGGGGGAAGTGGGGGGGGGGACTGGAGTGAAAGCCGATTTGAAATGGATTCCGGATCAAATATCATCACCTACAACTTCTTGTTAGTTTTAGTTCTAACAATGAATACCTAAAGCTTATTTTAAATGCTAATTCCCATAGTCCGATGCCCAGGAGGTAGTACCATAGCCCCGGATTTTGGCTGTCTGTCTGTCTCAGCCTTTGGGAAAACCTTAGTATCCGTGTTTCCTTGAAACTAAATACATTGACACTGAACTGCATGGAATGGCTCTCGCTTCAAGCAAACTGCATGTGTAACTGCGGCTGCCGCCCCTGTCAGCGACTTAGTGGGGTGGATGGGCCCCGATTAGGCGGCTGCAGATGCAGTGAGTCGCCAGCCCTTCCCTCGTTCACTCGCTCAGTGCAGTTGCCCTTTTGAATGCCTCCTGCGGCTCGGAGCGCTGGCAGGGCTCTGGGAGTATGAGTGAATGTAGCCCCGCAGAGCCAATGAGCTGGGACCGGATGCGATATATCCTCTGGGACAACAACTGCTCTGTTCCTCCTCAGATCCACATGACGCCATTTACTGCTGCTGCTTTTGCAGAGATCCCTACCTCCTCCGGAAAGAAAAGAGAGCAGAAAAACGCGGAGCCCCCCCAGCCCAGATCTCAAATCCTCCTCCTCCTCTACTCCTTCCTACCTCTCCTCCTCCTCCTCCTCTTCGCTCTCCTCCTCCTTCCCCCTCCACCTCCTACTCATCATCCTCTTCCTCCTCCTCCTCCTCTTCCCCTCCCCCTCCTCCTCATCTTCCCCCTCCCCCTCCTCCTCCTCCTCCTCCTCCCCCTCCTCTTCCCCCTCCTCCTCCTCCTCCTCCTCCAAACACACAACAACAACCACAGCCACAAACTCGCTGCTTCTCCTCCGAAACGCCCAGATTGCAAACCACAGAGCTGCCTGCAACAGAGAGAGGGAGAAAAAAGAGAGAGGGAAAAGGAGGAGGAAGCAAAAGAGCGGAGAGCAGCTGCAGCCAGCTTTCACGGGCAGAAACGACTGCACATTGCACAGGCTGCGTCTGCCAGGAGGAGGTCGATACGAAACTTGGGGATTTTGCTTAACTTCATTTTCAGGTCATTTTCTTGTACCATTCTATCAGCTTGCCAGAACAACAGAGTGACTTGGTGTTGGCGATTCGGCCTTCTGTTCATTGAGGAAAAGAAAAAAAAAGAGGAAATACTCCTTGTGTTTTTCTTCTTTTAGGAAGAGAGGGGAAAACGAAAAAGAAGGGGGAAAAAACACCTTTCTCCCTCAGCCTGGAGTTTTTACTTAATTGAATCTATCGGCGGGTTTCTTCGCTTTGGATTTTCTTTTCATTTCTATTTTTTCCCCTTCTGATGGCTTGCAAGTTGGA